TCCCAGCCATAGGCAGTTATTAACTACCCAATAAACATTCACTCCTGCGATGTCAGACCACTTCTCTCAGTCATTTGGTTAGATATCAATATTTGAGTCTTCCACCGCACATCAAACAGTTTTCCCAGCATCATTACATATCACCTCCACTTCTTAAAAAAAGAGACTTTATAAAACATGCAGAATTTAATATTTTTCCTCTTGTCTTTTCAGATACCATAGCCAAACAAGTATATTAAATTCCACAAGGTGACTCATCAGCCTTCTGGGAGCACTGTTTGCTGCTTGAAAGTTCCCAGGACTTTTCCACCGTGGCCCGAACACCTGTAGATTTCCTCACTAAGCCACTTGAAATCTTAAGTCTGGTATGTTTTTTGTTGGGTACAAAATAACATTTTCTCATCTAATCTGCTTCATTCCGCCTTCGTGGCTTCCCTCGGCACATTTTAAAACGGAGGGTTTGTTTAGAATCATTTCAGAGTGGCAGGAAAAGGCATTACTGCCACAATATCTGTATTCTAATATTTGCTTCTTAGCAACTTTTTATAACCCCTTTAATTCAACATTTCTCGCTAATCCATTTCATAGTTTGCTTTATATCAGCATATGAGAACATATGCTCATTAAATTTAATAAGGGACTTCACAGGGAACTTTAATTTAAAACATGTCATCGTTCCCTTTGCTCCATTTTGGCCAAGTTGTGCAGAAATCCTCTAAAAAAATCCTATCAGTCTCTTCACTAAGTGAGTCTGATTTTAAGAAGTTATGTGGTTTCTGGCTGCCCTTGGGCGGTCCCCAGAGGCATCTGTCAAGCAAAGGCATACCCGCTCCTGCCCGCCCTGCAGAGCCCACACTGAGAGATCTGTTACTGGGGGAAAAAAAAAAAGAAAAAAAACAAAGCAAGATGTTATAGGAGGCGATTTACCCTCTGTTTTAGATGGAACGAATCCTCGCATTGAAGGGAATTTGGACAACACAGGAGCTGAAAGAGAAAGCAATGCACGTGTGAGCTCTGCTATTCAGGACGGTGATGCCTGGCTCGAGACCCGGGTGGTGCCCACCCCTTCCTGGTCATCCTGGAATTGCAAATAATGCATGGGGGGGACACGAGTGCGGGGGTTGAGGCAGGATTTTCCCTTTGCAAGGCTAGCATTCTGCCCTGCGGAGCAAAACCCTGGCCTTGGGCACAGCCCAGCGCAAGCGAGGATATCGCTGCCCCGATCGAGATGATTGCCTCAAGACTGATGGACGGAAGGTTATGAGGAACACGCACGTGCTGGCTGATCCACTCACCTGTCCGCCCCGTCACGGATGTGCTCTCGCTCTCCCCTGTGTAGTGGATGGCAGAAACAGTCACCTTGTAGGCTCGGTCAGGCAGCAGCGACTGCAGGGTCACGCTGCTGCTTTTGCCAGAAGCCATGATCTACAGTGGAAAAAAAGCCCAACATTTGGGCAGGCTTCCCATTATAGCTCTTAACTCACACCTCAGGGTTACATGGAGGGGTTCTAGTGGCGAGTCCTGGGACAGAGGGGCTCGGGTTGGTGTCCCCGGGGCAATGGTGAAAGCAAGCTGAGGCAGCCTGGTGATGCACTGCCATCAGACCAGCCAAGTTTTGGCCAAGACCAGTGTCCAAGGGAAGGGTATTTCCCTATGTAAAGACCCCAATATTCCTCATGCAAATGGGTCAGAAGTGCCTTATAACATGGTGGCCAGCCTGGGTTTGAGTAGAAAATCTGGGTTTTAAAAGGTTAATGTTGAACCTCCCTAAGTCAGAGGGGCAGTAGGTCTACCCTCAACCCCTCTGCCTCTAAGAATTCCCCACCCCAGTTCAGGGAGGGGAGACTTCTGCGTTATTAGAGGCTTTGATGGGCACAAACATCTTAATCACAAAGAAGCCTGGAGGTCCTCTTCGCAAAGCAACACAGCAGCCCATAAGAGGATGAGATTTGGAGTTGTACTCCTGCGAAGCAGCCATCCTTATGGTAAACCCTACTGGAGTGAGCAGAGCTCCCCGGGCATGAAATTATCCCCATGTCCCTCTGGTCCGGTGCCTGCCACCTACAGAGGAGCTGGAGACTTACTGTTTGCTGAGCACCAGCATCAGAAACAGGGTTGTAGGTGATTTTGTAGTGCTGTATGCGGCCATCAGGGGGGGTCCAGTGGACCTGGAGGCTGGTGGAGGTCTCCGAGTCGATGAAGAGGTTGGTGGGTGGGCTCCTGGAATCTGCAGCAGGGATTAAAGGTGAATGGCATAGAAGGCAGGTAGCAACGTCTATAAATGGGGACAGCAGCCCTGGCTTCCAAGCCTGTTTCTGAATGCTTCAGTGCTCTGCTGTGTTCTTAAGCAGCACTTGGAGCAGAAGCAGTCACCTTGGGGACCAGGCAAGAGAGAAAAAAGATCCCACAGGGGTGAGGATTTCCCAAGTACAGCTCAAGCGTTCAACAATTCAAATCCTAGGACCTGGAAAAAAAATCTTGGAAGGAGGGAAGAGTCCTGGAAGCACAAAGAAAGGAGATCCTTTGCAGACAGCATGGACAAACAGCAAAGGACCTGCATAAAGGCCCAAACTGCCATTGAATTTCATCAAAGATCTGGAGACACACTGGACAAGCACCTTGATTGCTGGTTAAACCTGGATCACACTTCAACGTTAATCCATCATAATTCTTAATATTTTCCAGCTTTTTCTTTCTGTTTTAAAATTATTCTAAAGCACCCCAGAGCAGCCAGCACATGACGGTTTTGTCTAGCGCTTCCCACGCCAACCCCCCCAGCCTCGAGGAGGGATCACGTACAGAATGCTCGAGCTACTCCCCCTTTTCTGGCCCTGCACTGCAATGTATGGACATATCCCAAACAGGGGATGGGCTGAGCTGCAGTCAGCCAGAAAAGGGCTTGCCAGAGACCAAAGCTGAGCAATTTTTAATTATGTAAATGCATTTTCTTTCCCTGGGGTCCTGCTGAGTAGCAAACTGGACTTGGCGACAGAGGCTGTTACATTGGAGTGATTTCTCTGAGTAGAGGCTGAGTGTTAGTAAGAGAAAGGCAGAAGGGGCAAAGTCCATCCACTGTTCAAACAAGGGGCTGGAAAGCGTGGGGTCATCTGCTCCTGGAGCTTGTTCCCAACCAGCATCTTGCTCTGCATAAATGCACGTGTCTGGCCTTGAACCCACGCTGGTATGAAGACACAGAAGTCTTGGACAGAGAAAAGGAAGCATTTTATTCAGAAGAGACTAAAAACTATGGGTGAGCCCTAGAGACAGTCAAGGACACACACCCAGGCTATGAGTTTTCTATTCTGCAGTTTTACCTGCAAGGCTCTTCTGCCCACCCAGCAAAGTCTGGGGTGACCTTAGAGCACCGGTTGAACAAAGATCATTTGCATCTTCATTGATCCTCCTTCCCTTTTCTGGAGAAAATGAGCTTACTTTTACTGAAGCTGAATCAAGTTTGCTGGCAGATGAATCAGACTGGAGGCTGTGGCTGTGCATCACCACAAGGTAAAGTGGAGAAGAAAACAAGTGTGGGAGGTAAAGTCACTTCGACAGCGCTATTCTTAGTGTTGTGCTATACGTCTGCGTCTTTGCTGGCTGCATGGGCTATTTCCTTCAGCTGAGGTAAGAGGAGACTCTGTTTAAGTGAACAAAGAGAAAGTTAGGAAAAGTCTTGTGAGATGGGTTTATTCTGGAAAGCCCCCAGGCCCGGCAGAACTTGATGGCATGGATCTGACAGCCAAGGGAAAGGTCACCTCCTGAAGCTGCCCAGGAGGAAAGAAGCATCTCTGACACAGAGGACATCATCTGTGCCCTTGATTACCTCTTGAACCTCTGCTCCTCCACAGGAGAATCCCAAGCTGCTTGCTCTCGGGTCTAACCAGCATCACAGGCACATTTTCAAGTAAGCGTAAAACCCTGGAGTCTGCTCCATCAAAACACTCATCTGCAATGATTTTATAGGTCATGGGTTTTTGTCCACTGCCATGGGCTGAAGCTTCTTCCCCACCTTGCAATCCCTTTTATTTGCAATGTATTCTCTGGTAGGAAGAGCTCATTGAGGAGCCGGATAAAGAACTTGAAGACATTTATCAGCCCCAGGCTGGAGATGCTTCTTGCAGAGCTTAGCCAGAGGGATGGGGCACATAAGCACTTTGTAATCCGCCTCACTGCAAAGTCAGGTTGGTTCAGCCTATCTTCAGCAGCAGTTCCCATCCAAACTGCCCTCCTGTTCTTCACATGGAAGAGGATGAGACATGTTTGCGTGCTCTGCCCTGGTGGCAGAAATTTCCAAGAGACACTTGCTGAGCAGATGGGGAGGATGGAGAGGGGTAACATAGCCAAACTTGTGAAGAAGATCTTCCTGAGTCCATATTTACTACTTTTTGCCTCATCTCGCCTAAGCTGAGGAACTTCTTTCACGGCCCCCTCTCTGTGGTTCTTAATCTGATGGACCAATGTACGACGTGGGCTGCCCTATTGCAGCCGGGTCTATTTGTCCCTCTGCCTGGAAAAGTCTACGTTAGCAAACAAGTAAGATTCAAAAACACAGTTGGGATATGGTGGCTTCACATGTAACCATTCCTCCACTGAGCCTGGGACAGACGGCAACTTCACTATAAACTCCTGGGAAGGATTTGAGCTGGGCAAGGACAGTGACAGCGTAATTCCACTGACAGGCCGAGTAACTTGTTATACTGCTGGAATTCAATTGCATACACAGGAGACCTTAAAGTGCTGCCCTTGCATCCATGTTTCCCAGTCATGTCCCAGCCCTTTTTCTGCAGGGACAGTCCCTGTGTCACCATGGGCCGCTAACACGTCCTCCGATGCTCATTCACGTCATCGCTGCCCCAGAGCCTCAATCCTCAAACACTGCGGCAGAGAGAGACCCTGAGATCCTCGTCCTCCAGAACAAACAGGTGACTGTTTTATTTTGTTCAAGCTCCTTTTCCTCAGCCTGGATGAAAGAACTTCCTCTCAGTACAAAAGAGAGGTCCCCGTCTGCTTCTCAGCTGGATCAAAAGCCACCCCTTTCGGCATCTTCCAAGGATCACTGCTCAGCAACACCTCCATGTCCCAGCACCTTCCTCTCCCAAAGAGCATCTTCTGCACTCCCACTAGCTTGCATGAGAGGTTTATATACGTCTGAAGTACCACTGAGGCTGTTTGTTAATGTGACAAATGATCGCTGCGTAGAGCCTTTGGCCAAGGATAAGGACTTGGTTGCACTTGACAATTTATAGTAACATACTGAAAGGAGAGCTCTTAACCCAAAAGAGACGTCAGACTACATATAACAGGGAGACAAGAAGAAACATCAGGACTGCAGGTAAGCACACGGTAATAATTTTGTTATCTGTGGGAAATAACGTCAGTGTGCTTCTGTTGCTGCTCTGCCTCCTGGTAAGTCTGCAGAGAAAGCTTTGCTTAACTGGGTTGCTGAAAAACAACCCTAAACTTTTTCTTCTCCCCACCCCCCCGCCCCAGTCAGGACTGAGAGTTGAAAAAATTCCACTTGCTCAGTGCATTTTGTGACAGCTAAAGTGCTCCCTTTGGCACCAGGATTTTGCTTGGATCTCAGGCTCATATAAAAGTAAGGCCGTGGCAGAGAGGGACCGGACTCACGGAAGGCGAGAGGTGGCTGCCAGCCCTCCCTCGCTCGTGCGGCCACGGGGCAGGGGTGCCCCCCTCCTAGGAGGATGCACTTTGGCACTGGTGGTGGGAATGACATTAAGGTATCTCAGCTATTTGTGTCGCAATGATCTCACTCCATGTAAGTAGTTAAATATTCAAATAAATAATTTTTTTTTTTTAAAGACTGAGGATGTGAGTTTTCCCAGCTGCACATCTTAACTCCATAAGTAATTTTTACTCCCTCTCACGCTCTCTGAATATTTAATGACACCATTACAACTTAAACACTAAGTGCCGAGCTAGATAAGATGATAAGAAGGAACCTGCACCACATCACTGTCTCCAAGTTTTGTTCCTTTTCCAGATAAAGCTATTCAGCCATTGTAAGTTGAATTCATAAACCTTTTGAGGACAAATATCAAGCCATAACTTTGAAACAAATTTTCTGCCCGCCCGGAAGAAGAGAATCCTTGACCCAAGCCTACCAAATGACACACCGCAGAGATGGGTGGCTTTGGTTTCTATAAAAGAGGACAATGTTTCTGATGGCCCGTTGTCTGTGAGGTGTCTGCAGGGTCCCTTGGCCTGGAAACGGGTGTTCCAGGTGGGGCGAGAGGGATTAGTGGTCCTGAATAAAATGAACTTGGCGTTCTCACCTCACCCCCAGGGAAGGAACATGGCTCCATTTCACAAAACCAGCATGCAAAGAACATCCCTCCAACCTGGCATTTTTTCCCTTAACCTTCAAAGAAGAAAGTATTCCGGGAAGGATGAAGGATGGGGAAAGAAGCTTGTGTTAGCAGTGCTTCCTGCTGGGTTTCACTTCAGCCACTGCCCTTAAACTTCAGTGTTTCTTGCAAATTCTACAAATTCTATGAAGTTTCAAAAGAAACTTCATGACTTGACCTATTCCTATACAGGGGATGCTGCCAAGAGAGGAAAAGAGAAAAGCAACAATGAAAGGAAGAGTGTGGTTTCCCAACCCCCTCTAATGAGTACTTTTGGTTTTATTCAGCACAGCCTGATCGGGGCTATTCACCAGGTTGCAATCCAAAGTCTGCCATCCTGAGGAGAACTAGGTAGCTTTCGTTGGTGTTCCAGCCCCCAGAATTTCATTCTGTGATGAAAATTAGGGTGAGGGGGGCGCATAAAAATCAAACCAAGGTTTTGCTGTTTCCAGATAACATGAGATTCACCAGCTCTGACGCAGATTGACCCTGCTAGATATCGCAACCGCTCATAATTGCACGTACAAGATGGCAGCTTTTTCTTGCAACAGTAAAGGTTTGAATTATAACCATATCCCAGAATTTCCCAGAGTCCTCCCTGATGCCACGTCTTCCCATGCTTCCATCACACAAGCCTTACGCAGTTTGTTGCCATCCACGAGTTTCCTCTGAACTGCCCGAGATCAGCACTGCCTCCTGGAAATCATCACCCAACCCTTCTCCTGTGCCACTTCTCTGTGGGCGCTTCTTACTTTAAACATTAAAAAGTAAGAACCACCATCAAAGACACTGACTGCACATGTAAATATTGTCCCCGAGAAGCACGTGGCACTGCCCTCACTCCTCATGCAAACTGACCGGCAGAACCCAGGCGCTGAGACTCTGGCTCCCCAGCTACACACCTGATTTTTTTTTGGGTGCTTTGCTTTCTTCATCCAGCAAGGCAAAGCCTTACATCCCTGAGACATCCTTGTTCCAGAACAAGGACAGCAACTGAGAAGCAGAAGTCAAATTGCCTCCCATGTCCCACCAGGCTGCCAACACCAGCACGGACCGGCTTGTTCAAACGTGACTGGAAGGGCACCATCGCTTGCCGTTTGCGGTGGGCTGAGGGAGCACCTCTGGCGTCTTGTAATTTGTGGCTTAAAAGATAGCCACTCATTTTCCAAAGCCCCCGAACAGCTCTAGTTGCCCATTTATTATTATATACCCGTAAGATGATTTCTTTTTTTTTTTCTTGTCAGTATGCAGCTCCTAGGTACTTGCCTGAGGTAGCTTTACATAAACAAATGTTATTATTATTCATTATTAATAAAACCTGACCTTCTCATTCCAAGATTGCCATTTACTCTGAGTTTCATCAGCTCAACACCAGCCTAAACGAGCTCATTCTGCAAAGGAGGTTGAGAGCTGAGAGTTGGAGGAGAGGACTGCTGCAGTTGAATGAATCGCCTTCCATTCACTGCCAACAAAGCCATTATAGAAGCAATATTAATTAGAGGACCTCTGGGAGTGCCACTTTTTAACCCCATCTCCTGCCTGTACAAAGCGAGATTTAGATAATGCTTCCAGGCAGCGTCTGCCTGCAGGATTCTCTCTCGTTTTTGTGAGTACCCTCAGACGATGCACAGCTCAGCAATGATGTAGCTGAAGAAATCCTCACCCTCCTGAACAGACAATATTTTACCAAACAGGGAACATCCATTAGGCAGCACCGTGTCACGTTCAGCCGAACACCCTACAGAAAGCCGATCCTTTTGCATCAACACACTCCACAGGAGCAGGGGGGAAAGCAATGTGTTCTACATGAAACTCATTGCAAAGGTATCGGCTGCCGATAAGATGCACCAGCCTGCTTGTGTTTGCCCAGCCTATTTTTCTCAGTCCAAATTCAGGACGCTTCAAGACAGAAGGCTAAATATCTCCAGCCCCTTCCAGACATTCAGGTTTGGGTTTTCAGAGCTGGAGATGACCATACCTGAGCTGCTGGTCTGTGGTGGGCTCTGAGGCATCCTGTGCCCTATTTATTATCCCCCTAGGCTGCGGGTACCGAATGCTGATCACTTACTAGTCCTGTGCTGAACAGAAACCGTGTCGCTTCGAGCACCATCTTTGTAATAGGCCCACATGGATATTTTATAGTCAGTGTTCTTCTGCAAGCCTGGCAGGACAGCAGTTGCCACGTTTCCAGCGATGGAGAGCTGCAGCAGGAGGATAAATGAGTCAGCCGAGTTCCCAGGCATCCCCAAGCTAGTTCATGCCATCCTAATGTCTGTCTCACAGATTGCCCGTAGGCACAAATGAGTTAGCCCTGGGCTTTGGGGACTAAATCTACTGTTGTGGGTTGCACACTTCTAGGCAAAGGCAAAATTCCAGCCCTGATTAATGCAGAGGAGATGCCCATGTATTGCTGCCCAGTTATATTTAGCAGCCACTTCAATATGGCAATGCAGTGCTCTGACACAGGTAGCCAACCTGCCCTGAACAAGAAAGCCCTTTGCACAATTCCAGTTTTGAGATGTGCTGGGGACAGAAGCCCCAGTACATCCCTGTTCCAGCCCAAATGTGAAGCATGGCATGAGAGACTTGGGCAGTTAACCCTAACTTCAGCTGCTGTTTGCACTCATACTGGAAACAGGGGCTTGAGATGGAAGAGGTCACCTCATCCACCCCTGCCCCTCCTGCACCAGCTCTGTCTCTGGTCATTCTCCTCTGTGTGCTCCTCAGCTGGACCTCATCCTTCTTGAGGAGCGTATCCCGAGAAGTAGTTGGTGCTTACTAGCACTGAGGAAAGCAAAAGTTGCTTCACCTGCCTTAGAGGCGATACCTCTAGCTATAAATACTTGAGTATTATCTTTGTCTTTTCCACAACAACTTGACATTGTGGGCTGGCGATTCTCTGCAACCCCAGATCTTTTTCTACTGAATTGCTTCTTAGCCATTTGTTCTACATCCTGTACACCTGAAGTTAATTATTCCTGCCTAAGCTTAATACTTTCTGCTTGTCCCTATTGAATTTCATCCTTGAGATTTTCCAGAACACTTCTGCAATCTTCCCAGAGCCTGTAGGACTCCAACCCTGCCATCCCGCTGTCCCTCCCGCTTCCAGCACTCAAGGTGACAGCTCCACTGAACAGAGCCAGACCCAGGACAGACCCTGTCTTATTCCATAGGCTCCTTCGGCTGCGTGCTGAACTGTATAATTTGTTGAGTGCATTAACCTGAATAGTTTTGCACCTCCCCATGCCACTCTTTCAGGTGAGCTCAGAATCATCAAGCAGGCACAAAGCCAACCCAGCCTCCCCAGAGCTGTGCATGGGTCCATACCTCCTGAGGCTTCTCTTCACCGACTGTGCTCCATTTGATCTGATAGACAACCACATCGGAGGCAGCAAGGGCTTCCCACTGCAGTCGGAGGCTGTTCCCAGAGAGCTCAGTCACCTTCAGCGCACGCGGTGGGGGGACCTTTACTGAGGGATGCAGAAGGACAACCAGCTGAAGCGCAGGCGCTGGCAGCGCCTTGTCAAAGCCAAGGTGGGGAGCAGATGGTCGGGGAGCAAAACATCAACCGGGCAGATGTCTGAGACCAGCCTGTCTTTCACTTCTTGAGACCCATATGACAACAGCCATCGGGACAGAAAGGGGTAAATTATTTTTAAAACCCTAATTAAGGAGGGTTATCTCATTTGTGGACAGAACACATGCCACACTGGTATTGTAAAGGGCAGAAGGCCAGGAGGGCTCTCAAGGACACAGAGGTTAGTGATACCTCATGCTTTTTCTTCATTCTCTCCCTTTCTTTATTCCTCCCACCTCCTTTTAAACATAACACAGTTGGACATATTCACACTCAAAGAACAGCAGTCATCTGGGTTTTGTGCAAGGGTTTCAGCCATAAGCTGCTGGGAATGATCTTCAAAGCATCCCGGTTCGGACACAGACAAGCCAATTATGTCACCTATTACTGGGACCAAAAGTGTTTCCATTCCCTACTTACAGGTGGTAACGTTGCCGGTAATTGGAAAGGAGTCCCCTTCATCATACGTAGATCGGACACTGATGAAATATTGGGTGAGGGAGGACAAAGGTCTCAGGACAGTGGATGTTGCAGTGCCAGGAACCTCGACCTGCAGTGGAGGAGTTGTACAAGTGTTAGGAGAGGAGCATGGGGACCGCTGCAGAGGGCTTAGCACGTGGGTGGCAACCACAACCCAAGTGCCCATTGCAGAGTTCAAACACTACCAGCAGATAAGCCCTCCCTGAACCATGCAGCTGAAGGAGAACAGGGCAGTATCTGCCTTCCCAGATTTCTTTTGCTTCCACCAACCCCTTGAGGACTCACCTCCCCAGTGTTGCTCCCCCTGCTAGAAACATAGGCGACGCGGTGAGCTTTCACGGCCGGAGACGCAGCCTCCCAACTGACTCGAACGGACGCATGGCTGAGCTCGGAGAAGCTCAGGTATCTGGGAGGACTCAAGGCCACTGCAACAACAGTTAGTGACAGCACTCCGAGCTTGCCCAGGCTGCACAACGGCAATGCCATCGGTTGCCTCCTGCTGCTCTTAGATGACTCCAATTTGAACTAAGAGAGTCATTCACCACGTGGGAAAATATTCTCTTTATGTCACTAGCATACGTGCCTCTGAGACATCATGAAAGGCTGCCTGGGCTTCAGGTGAAGAAATAGCCAGATAATTCCCTTTTTCTCCCCAGACAACAAAGACCTCAGGGAACAGCTCTTTCAGGAGTCCTTTTACCACCAGGAGAAAATCACTCCTTTTTCACAGCTCTCCATGAAATTAGAGAGCCCCTTGGGGACCACTATTCACTCAAGGTCAGGCAGGGAAGAGGCAGCACATTCACAAGCCACATGCGCAATATGGGAAGCACCTCATCTAACACCTCTCTCCTGCCTTAAGCGTTTAATAACAACTCAGTAAGCAGCAGTGGCACTTACGGGTGGTTTCCTGGATGCTGGCTGGATCACTCGCGTCTTCTCCATACATCGCATATACCGCAACAGAGTACTCCGTGCTGGGGGACAGCCCATCCAGCAGGACCTCAGGCTGGGCCACCTTCACCTGTCAACAGGGAGATGCTCTGGGGTACCCTTCGGTTCTGGGGTACCCACTACTCAAGTAGTACCCAAGAGCAAGACCTTACTGAAAGAGAGGTCGAGGGCCTTTTGGTTACACTAAGGGGACTTCTGCACTTCAGGACTTCACCACTTGGGTAGGTGCTCTACAGCGGTCAGTGCTCTGCCTCTCTTCCCAAGGGACACCAAGCACGTTGGAGGTGCACACCCCCTTCTCCTACCCTGGTCTGCAGAGGCATAAGGCTCTTAGACAAAAATGCTGCTGCTGTTCTTGTTCTGGTTTGGATTGGGGGCACCTGTGAGACACGATCCCACTTGGCTCAGGCACATGGAAAGCTCTTGCAGAAGAGCTGCCTGCTGCCAGCAGACCCATAGCCCATGGGCTGCTGCCCCCTGCCGCTAGCACAGCACGGCCACAGCTCTCCTCCTCCAGCCTGCTCCCCGCAGAAACGCACCCAGAGACATCCAGGGGGCTGCACCCAACGGAGCACAGCTTTATGAAAGGCTGGAAACATTTTCACGCTGGTTTTGCAGCCATCCCGTAGCTTTAGAGCATTGCACTCTTACAGCACATAGGTCAGGTAACTGCAGAAATGTGCTAATATGCCAAAATAAAACTTTAATTGTTGGTCTCTCTTCAAATGTTCTGAATCTTAAAAAACCCCACAATTATGCACTGAAAGCAGAGTATAAGAATTAATTGCTCTGTTTTGAAAACCACCCTGCAATTGCTCCGACTGCTGTGCATTGTGGGGGGGAATCTGAGTCAAAGCAGCTACGTATGTTCCCTCCACCTTTTTTTTTTTTTAATTCATATCCTCAGCTGACAGGTCCTCCAGATAACTCACTAAAATGCCCACATGACAAAGGGTTCTTAAATGTTTTTAAGGATTTGCCATTCATTGAGCGTTGTTTTATTCTTACGCAGTGTCATAGGTCTGGTTTTAGAGGTCAGCAAAAACTGCCCTAACAAATTTTCAATAAATGTTTTAAGGTAAAGGAATTTGTGTTCAGCCTCAGGGATATGCACCAATTACACTTGGGGCTGCAGAGGTGCGAGTTCCGTGCCTGGGTTTCCAGGGCCCCATGAGGCTCCCAGTCAGTTCTCTCCCTACACCTTGATTTCCCATGTGAAATCCTCACAGTTATAAATCACTTTAAGATACACCATAAAAAAAAAAAAAAATCTTCCATGAAAGATGTTGCTGGCAATAATACTGACACTTTTTTTTTTAAGACACGTGATACCAATTCACAAAGGTTAGAGCTAGAACTAAACTCAGCCCAGACAGAAAAACCGCTATTATCATTATCCTCATGAACTCTACCTCCATCGTGTAGTCCTCTGCTCCGTCGGGGGCTGCGGAGCAGAGCACCAGGTACTGCGTGGCGCCCTGGGCTGCCTTCCAGCTCAGCCTGATGCTGTTGTGGCTCAGCTCGGAGACGCGCAGGGAGCGAGGGGAAGACAAAGGCACTGGAGGGAAAAACAAGGCAGAAGGACAATCTTCATCGTATGAGGTCTGCAGCAGCTCAAACCCCACAGGAGTCCTGGCTTTGCAGCCTGCAAGCTGGTGGACATCTACCCCATATCTAACACAGTGGAGCAGCCACTTTACAGAGAATGGGTTTAATTCACTTGGAGCCCAAGGATAAAAAAGCGGAAAGGGATTGGAAGATGTTTCTAGCACAGCGTGTAACTGCCATGTCAATGGTCTCCTCCGCAGAAGGATGTAGGTGGAAAGGGACCCGTGAAGGTCTGTGGTCCAACCTGTTGCTCAAAAAGCAGGTTGCTCAGCGTCTTGTCTGGTCAAGTTCTGAACATCTTGACAGATGAGATAGCTGTACACAGACTGAACTTGAGGAAGGGGGAAAAATACAATGTCAGGTTCCAGTCTGAGATGGTCACAAAGAAAGAGCTTTGTTCACCGGTCATAACCACGCATGGGCATAATTCTCTCTACTCACGACCTACATGTGGAGGTGACGCCTCTCAGCCCATCCCCAACGACTGTGTCATAAATAGGGAACACCGACACCAGGTACTCTGTGTGCGAGGTCAAATTGGAAAGCCGCAAGGAGGAGACAGCTCCATCTAAAACCACCTGAAAGCACAAAGGAGGGCTGTCAAGACAGGGAGGTGCTGGCCGCTCTTTAGCAAAGCAATGGCTGAACTGGCCTTCCCTAGCAAGCGTGGCTTCTTTGTGGCACATCTATGCCCAAAAACATGAAGTCCAGTTGCCCTCTGAATTTTGTGCTGGCTAGCATCTCCCCAAAATAGAGGTAAGAGGCAATAAGCACTCCTGTCCTCTAAGGCTGGGAACTGTGTGAACAGCAAGCACAAGACTCTGATCGTGCTCTCACTGAAATCAGTGGAAACCCATCAAAAATTTGGATTTGCTTTTCAAAGTCATATCTATCACAGATGAGCATCCTCAGGCAGCTCTGTGTACCTGCGTGTCCTCTTTGAGTCAAACCAGATGCTTTAGGGAGGGGATACCACTGCATAAGAGAAAAACTGGCATCAGCGTGGCTTGCAGTATTTCTAGCAGGATGATATTTATCTGATGGCCTCTTCTATCTTGTCATCCTATCAGCTGATCACATTTACACTCAGTGTGCATTTCATTTTGTCTCTGGCTTTAGCTGATGTCCCACAAGAACTGCACCTCTCCCTTCGTCTGTCTACTCAAGTCTGCTTAAATTCCCAGCCACCATCTGGAAGGTACTGCAGCCTCAGATGTCCAGAGGAAGGTTTCTCACCTCTTTGGGGCTACCACCCTTAGATGGGTAATACACAATCCGATATTTCTTCGGTGGTCTCAGAGGAGGACTCCAGGTCAAGTGCATGCTCTTAGAGGTCACAGCTGATATTTTAAGGTCTGTTGGGCTCAGCTGGGGACCCGTGTTCACAGCAATATCTTTCACAGTGCTGCCTAGGAATTAAAACCACAGTTACTTTCTTATACTCAGACTTCTTGTGCCAAATGTACTTTCCAGCTCATAAATATGAGTGACATTTTTCAAATCAAGTTACAGTCTCCTTCCCTATAGAGTCCAGAAACTGTTCCAAACTGCTCTGAAGTATTTTCAAACTGAGCATACAGAGAACATAAGCACTCCATAGAGAACAGGCTGTGTATTTTGCTGGGTGCTGGGAACGCTTTTTCACCACACAAGTCAGTATTTTTGCATGTATCCAAAGATGACCCAGCTTTCCTCAATCATGGAAATTTGTCAAAATGAACAAGCAGAAGTTATTTCGGTTTATTTTTTGAGCAGCCCACCTTTCTTTAGACCAATCTGCACCTTTGAAAAATGTCTAATTACATCAAACAAGTACAAATTAATAAGGATGAATTAATTTATTTATATGAATCTCCAGGGCATTAAAATAAACATGTGCTTGAAAGTTAGACTTTCCATTCTCCTTAGGCCAATCTTAGAGCAGAGAGGGATGGAAATATGTACACAGTATTTCTCCTGAGGGTGTAAGCCAACATCTGGAGTGATTCTTTACTCTCTTGTTCATCATACAAGCTGCTCTCCAGCAAAGGAAAGAAACGGGCTGTTTGGTTTTAACTTGGAAATGTCTTGGAGATCCATCAAACTAAAGTGTGGAGACAAAAAAAAATACATTTAGGTGTTTTATCATCTCCTCTTCCTACCTCCACATTTCCTCCATATGCACTCTTTACTACATTCTCAAATTAGCTTTTTTGCCTTTTCTGCCTCCTCTTGGTTGGAAGAAACTCCAAAAAGGAGATGGTTACAACACATTTATCACACCATATGGTAATGGAAGAGGGAAAAGAAGTCTCCTCTTCCCTACAATGCTAGTTATTATCATTAGATGATTATATCCACCAGAGCAGATAACCAAACCAAGAGCATCAGAATGGAAACATCTACAGGTAGTCTCTCTGTGACTTGTTAAAGACAGCAGGGAGCCTGCAGTGGAGTGAGAGTGGAAGAACTGCATCCAGAGGGTCTTGTAGAAGACAAGAGCCACAGGAGAAACTGGCCAACACATTGACACAGCATGGGCCATCGTCAGGCAGCAAGAGAGCTGAGCAAGGAGATTAGCACTGGATAAGAGTTAGGTGGTACTGACAGGGTGGTGGAGCTCATGGAGGGAAAGTATGAGAAAGGGTCAGTCCTGATGTCAAGGAAGGTGGGTCGTGAGCAGAAGGAAGCTCAGCCCTCACTGAGGAGGTTTCACTTCACCTGCGTTTTCCTTATTGCTTTTCTCTTTGATCCTGGCACACAGGACCCGGGTGAGCCTGCCAACCAGAGAGCTCAGCAGTGGGAAATCCAGCACGTTGTACACCGTGAGCTCCAGCGGCTCCGAGGCCACCTGCTTCAGCTCTGCTTCATCCGCGTTCTTCACCCCTGCAACCAGAGCAGAGAACAAGACTGAGAAAACTCCCCAGAGAGGAGCAGCTTCTGCCTCCTGCTTCTGTGTTGTTTGTTCAGGGGCAGGATCACCACCATCAGCCAGGCTGAGCCTCCCAGTCATTCCCGTGGAGTGGTGGTATCTGAGAATGGCCTTGGGCTTTCCTGCAGCAGCAGCCTCAGTCCAGCCTAGGAAGGGCTTTCAGCTTTGTGGGCTCAGAAGGTCTTTTGTGGCCTGGAGACAGCCTAGTGAACCCTTGTTCTGTTTTCCTGCCTCCCCATCACTTGCAGGCCTTGCTACCAGGAAGGCAGATATTTTTCACCCTAAGAGGCAGTTGGCATAAATGGGGGAACCAGTGGATGAATAAACAAAAATTTTATATTTATGAGGTGCCAGCACTCCCCACAGACAGTCTGTTGCTCATCAGGACTTCACATTGCATCTCAAGAGTGTCATGGATGAGCAAAAAGCAGACCATTTATTTAGCAGAACTTCACAGAGCACCCTCCATCCCTATCCTTCTGCTCTGCATCCTCATTAATGCTCTACACACAGACCAAGCCCCACAGCATACACTTTCTTTTGTGTCCCAGTGCTAAGATCAAGGTCACCCTGGCATTGCCCAAGCAGTACCATTGCCAGATGGGGATCCCATCTCGTTTCTCAAGTCCAAAACCATTAACAGCTTTGCTAGCCTCCTTCCCCCTTGCTTTTTCAGCGAGAACCAAGGCACTATTGAGATGAATACTCAGGTCCTGATGTCTAAGGACCAAACAATGTGATCTTCCTCTAACCAGAGACAAAAGGCAAAGACCCCAGCCAGGAACAGATCTCCAAGAGATTTCAGGCACACAGCTGCTCGTCTGCTGTGCTGCACCCCCATATAGCTGAGCCTTATCAGCTTCGCTCAGTCCATGAAAGAAATCAGTACCAGCCACTTGGCTGCACAACCCTATGCAATAAAACCTTGCTTGTGTCTTCCCAAGGTACATTAGCACTTCAAGTTTTGAAGATTGCAATTTTAGGTGAGTTTTCTATGTACCTTTATCGCCCCTCTATTAGTCTAGCAGACTTGCTCAGTCATCAAGGACAGAGCCGCTCAAGGTCATTTCGTGTCTCATTATTGCTGCTGGATAGCAAAGAGCAGCTAATGTCATTATTCAGAGAAATGGAAAGCCGCGAGCTGCAGTAATTATAAAGGAGGTCTCCTGCCCTCCCCAGCACAATATTCTCTTGCCTAATTCCACAGCTGAGAATATTGTTCTCATGGCACAGGTCTCTGAGGATCGCAAAGGTCTTTATGGATGGGAGGTGTGAAATATCTCATGTAAATGAGTGTTTTTCCTAGACAAACAAAATCCCTTTTGAAGACACTGCCTGTGCTGAATAAACGAGTTCATTTTCATCTTAGCCACAATGTAATGAGGCCTTACCCATTACCTTAATTTTAAAGTGTCAGGATACTCCTATGAAAGTTGACTGAATATAACCTTCAGTTTGAAGATCAAAAATAGGTTGACTTTGTCCTACAGCTTATCGATGGCTGTGATCTTACCAATGGCAAATATCTCTATGCCCAGGTTTTTCAATGTTTGAGCAGCCAGGTTGGCATCGTCCTGGGATTTTCCATCAGTCAGGAGTACTACCAACTTCTCAGCCTCCAGCCGGGCACCAGCGCCTGGTTTCAGATTCTGCTCCAGGACGTGGGTCAGCGCCAGACCTGAGGAGGAGCGGAGACGGATGATGTGCTACAGCCTTGCAGACAACCCCACTGCCTTTATTCTTTTATCTACCCCCAGCAGCTTTGGTCCCCACGGAGGTCATCCCATGGGAACAGCTTCCCCCGCTGCAGCCGCACGGATCATTTTGCGGAGACCTGAGAGCTGGAGTTACCTGTAAAAGTGTTGCCGCCCTTGTATCGCAAATTCTTCACGGCCTCCAGCACCTGGTCCCTCGTAGAGTAAGCGCTCAGATCCCACTCTGTGCGGGGATCGCTGCTGTACTGGGACAGCCCTGGGGAAGGCGAGAGCTATCGGCATCATGCAAGCCAAGGTAAGCTGCAGGAGGAGATTTGTTTTGGGGAGGCAGCATCAGGCTTGCCATGGAAAGATGACACAACATAACGAATGGGACTGGGGTGAACAGATTTGGTTTCTAGCTCCTCTTCTCTGCATGGTCCTTGCCACGCAGGCAGCAAGGTGATGCTTCAGACCCCACTGGGTACAGCGGTACTTACCCCACCCTGGGGCTCTGAAGTGTTTGGTAAGGTCTCAGTGTTAATCAGGGTCAAACTAGTTGGCTGCAAGGAGTGGGAAGGATTTACACTGCCCTATTTCACGCACCAACTGGCCAGTGCCATCTGCTGGGATTTAGCCTCGCGCGGAACTGGAAGCAGCACCGGTTGTAGCTGAACTCGAAGCAGCTCCAGGGCAGCATCGCCACCGCATCTGTCTGCGCAGTGCTGTGGAGGCTGAGCACCTTGTCAGAGGTAGGCAGCAAATCCCAAATGTGCCTCAGCATCAGTGCCCGACCTGGTGCTGCCCAGAAGACATCGCTTCTGTTCACTGTGCAGCTATTTCTTACAGCCACTAGAGGCCAGAGCTTGCTACCAGATGGGAAAAGCTGCCAAGAGCAGCAGGCAGGACCCCACCCTAAGAGAATAAAAGCTCCTCAGAGCCCACAAGCGTCCAGAACAGAGACCAAGGCCCCTTGAAACACAAATTTCCCAAGGTCAGGAAACAGAAATGTGTCCTACCTACTCTTATCTTGTTTTGGGCAATACTGAATGGGGAAATCAAACTGCTCAGAAACTCCTTAATGAGCTTGAAATTGTTGCGTCCGATGCTCCAGGATCCATCCACCAGCAGAACAATATCAGTCACTGCAGATGTGTCACACTGAAACTGGGAACCTGGGGAGGGGGGGAGAAGGTTTAATATTGAGAGAAGCAATTGTAAGGGAGGAAAAACTGCTTCGGTTTTAAGATAAAAAACAAATCTGTGGTGTAAGGCCTCATCTGGATGGTGGATTGGACCATCTGCCAGCCTGATGCATCCCAGCATCTTGGGAAAACCACGCGGCTAAGGATAACCCATCTCAGTACCAAGAAACTGAGTGGTGTGCAGCAGCATTTCTGCAAAGAATGGGTTAAAGCTGTCAGGAAGTGTCTGCCTAAGCCCAGCACTGCTCTCTGCAAGCTGTCAGCTCCATTAAGTCTCAACCCCAGCCCAGTGCTTCCCTTTTATCTAGCCTATGTCTCCAAGAATTGCAGGTGATTGCTTAATTCCATTCCATCACGAGATCCCCTGCGGGCTATAATTATTTCGTGGCTTTATATTAAATCCAATCTCTCCGTAAAAACCTGCTGGCATCACAGATACTCAAGCCCTGCCCTTCTCCCCACCCCAGGCCTGCAGCTTAGCAGAGGATAAGATAGGGCATGTTGCTGATCGAACGCATCTTCCCCAAATATTTTTCGGATGGGGGATTTTCCATCTTTGGTGGAGGGAAATAGATGACCCCATCAAGATTCAGTGGGTTGCAAAGAGGTTACCCTCCTATCTCTTTTCACAGGCATGGAGTCCTCCTGGTCTCAAGGGACCAAATGAGGATGCTCTGGCCGATCCCATTCCCACTGACTTCAACAGTGCTGTGAGCTGCCCACCCTGCTGTGGTCTCAACTGACGAATCTGAAGGATCATCATGGATCCGTTATCTGTGAAACATGAAGAACAAGCCCAGGAGGTGGAGCAGGTTGGGTAACAAACATCGCTGATGCCGTCCTCCCCTTCTGAGGGCTTGGAAACATCCATGGCTGGGGGGGCTCTGTTGAAGAATACAAACTCTTACGTGGCTCTGTCAGAAGCAATTTTTGGCCTAGCTCCAGTTTGCCTTAAAATCTGTGATGTTCTACGGAACTCCAAATTTCCCCCTGACAGTTCCCCAAAGCATGACCTAGCAACTGAAAGCACCATCAGCAGCACCGTACTCTTGAGAATCTTGGTGACAAGAGAGTGGGATGGAAAGCATTAGGGAAAACAGCAGGGAAGAAGGAGCAAGATATGTTTGAAACCCCTCTCACCTCGCCTCAACGAATCCTTTGTGGGTTTTTCTTTTCCTGGAGACTCTCTCTCTGGGGTTGCAGGAGCACGCTGGGATGATTTTGTGGTTGTTGGTGTTGCTTCTGTCACACTGGCCTCCACACTGGGCTGGTTTCTTGTCGTTTCTCCTGAGCCCTTTGGCTGAATCCCCTTCTGCCTTTTCTTTTCAGCTCTGTCCTTTGCTGTGTTCCAAAGAGAAAAACCCTATTGTCCCGAGCAGTGTTATCCCCATGCAACCTGCTCCACCCGTCGGCTGATTTAAGCCACATTTGACAGAGCTGTAGGGGCTCAGAGAGTATAAAAGTCCTACAAGCTTTATGAAAATAGGTAGCTAGATAAAGGAGACCATCTTCGTTCGTGGCTTTCTGAGAGGCCTGCACATGGGGCCATGAGTTAATAACAATGCTGGTAGTGGTTCATGTCAAAAGTTTGTCCTTCCCACTATCGTTAATGATGAAAAATAATGAATGTTTATAAAATATGAATCAGGGAAAACATACCATGGCACCTGATACCCAGTGTGGTCTCCAGACCTCAGAAGTCTGTGACTCAGAAACAACCCAAGCTAGTGCAAGTCTTTTTGTATGATGGCCCAGATGAATCTTCCATTAACACATTGCCTTTTGAACTCATGCAAACCTTGTATACCAGATACATGAGAATCTATGTGGTTACATACAGTCCTCAGCCAATCTGGAGGGCTCACACCTTCTTTTAGACCATCTGCAGTCAACCTTGGGACACAGAGCCTGGAAAATCAAGCACCATTAGACCCAGTGCTTAGGGAGCACCTTGTTCTCAAAGGATCCCCTCTCAGTTTAAGGATATGGCTGTATCTGCTGAATTTAAATACCTGTCAGCCCCAGGAACACATGAATGTGATTTTTCAGGTTGGCTGGCATGAGGGGCAAATATTTTTAGGTTGCTTACTGTGTTTTTGTAGTTAAGAACTGCATGCAAGGGATGAGACAGGGCTAGCATATCTCACCAAATGAATGTCCCTGATGAAGTGGGGGTTTCAGGGAGAGGGTGGGAGTGGGTTTAGGGACAGCTGTGCTTAATGCTCTAACCATAGTTGCATACCAGTGGCCATGGCTCAAAAATCAATCCAGTGTGACTCCAGGATGGTCAGTGCACCCACCTGGCTGTGTCAAGATGGTGTTCAGGGGTGGTGGGGTGGCCTCTGCTGCCCCACTGTGCTCAGCTGCTGAGTTCCCCAAAGAGGTGAGATTCTTTCCTGATGCAGCTCCTGAGCTTCTCCGGTTATTTCTAGTCTGGGATGCATTTTTGAGTTCCTCTACTGCAGGAAGACCAAAAACAGAGAGCAAGAGAGTCATCTAGACAGATCTGTAAGTCCTTCATCCCCTGGGTCTTCACCATCCCCCGCTCTAACCTTCCAACCAAAATAGTAACAGGCTCTGTGATTGCCACAGAGTCTACAGGGCATATGCCAAAGGATGAGCTCTGAGGAGCCACATCTCCAAGAGCCTCAGGAGCCCTCTGAATGGTAAAATGTAGCGCTCTACTTACTCACAAATTTCCTCTTGGCAAACAGGGCTTCCTGGGAGCCGTTGAGCACATAGACCTGCAGTGTGTATTCCTTGGTAGGGCTCAGCCCCCCCACTGTGGCTTTGGGAGTCTTGGTTTTCAGCATGACTTCTTGCTCCGAGTCCCCTGAGGTGGGATGAAGCCACAGTTCAGAGCCTGTTAGAGCTTAAATTTAAGCTGACAGTAGCAAAAGCACCACTGAAATGCAGGGAATGTCTGCCTAGGGACCTCAGTCAACTCCTATTTCCTTTTTTAATTTTGTGGATCTCTGAGTTTCACTCTTTTTCCCAATCCAGAGCTGAGAACGTTTAAGTTGTTTGTTTGTTTTTTAAAATCCCTGATACATGCCCAGAAAAAGAAAACCAGGTACCCCCCAGCGTTAGTGCAACTCTCATCAACTTTGCAAGGCGTTGCTGAGTAAAGAGCAGTCTTCAGAGGGTAAAGACTGGGCAATTGCTAGTAAATACTGTTTATGAAAACATCCAACCCCTTGGTGTGCTCGAGGTCATATGTGACAAACTGAGGAAGTGGCTTGGTGTTCCTGGAGATCATCGCTGGCACTTGGGACTCATCTTACTTATCCCAGCCAGCCCTGCTGTGCTGTCTCTGCAAGCCCCATCTGTCTCCAAGGGCAGCTGCTCTCTGCGGGGAGACAGATCATTTTGGGGGGTCTGCACCACCTCCAGACCCCTCTAGCCATGTCCTACGGTGTTGGGACCTGTCCTGGGTCTGTGATGCCTTGACCAGCCAAGAGCTGGGGCATTTCTGCGCTGGCTCGGCAGTGAGCAGATGAAGGGAGGCAGCTTTGTGCTACACAAAACAAAGGGAGAGAGGCAAACTAGCTCCCTAAAATCCTCTGATTAAGAAAGGTCTACAAGCTTTAAATTATGGAGATGGATGTGTTTTTGACCCTGCCACCGCTGTGCTCATGCCTGGTGGTGGAGATGGAGCTCCCCAGCCTACGCAGAGGGAAAGCCTCAGGCATGTGCCGGGAGTGCTGGTGGGGATTCCCTGCATTCCCGGGATGCTCATCCCTGTGCTGAGCTGAGGCCCGGGGAGGAGCAGGGCAGTGAAGGAACGAGAAACCTCCTGCTCCAGCTTGGGAAACAGGTGGGGGCTGAGCTAAAAGCGGGTGGGTGATCTTAAGAGCTCTGCCGCACGCACTCCTGCTGGGCAGCTCCCAATTCTCCGGCTCGCTGGGAGAGCGGCAGCGACTGAAGACCAAATGCCAGCCAAGACTAAGGTTGCCTCCAACCACTGCTCCCTGCCGAGGGATGTTGTGTCCTTCCAACACCACCAGGTTCAGTGTCTGAAGTCAGGGAGTGCTAGAGCTTGGCTGGCGTAGGGAGCTAGGAGGCTGAACCCCGCTCCGCATGGGGTCAAGGACTTCCCATCCCCTGTCCCTGGAGGTGGGGGACAGCTGGGAGCTCCCACAGAAGAACCAGACAATGAACCTTTCCTCACCTTTTTTCTCACACATTCCCAAAGAGCAACACTTTGGGAGCTGCTTCGCCCTTAGTTGCTTTGCTGAATTAGCTTAGAGGCTAAGCCTTTGCCTAGGATGAAGAGAGCTGAATTTCATCTCTCTCTTGTGAATGAGTGATAGAGGGACTGTGCCTGCACTGGCGTGGCACTATGGACTGCTCTCATGGTGGCCAGAAAAGCTTCTTTTCCATACTGTATCTACAGCCCAGTGGAAGGCTTTGACCTAGGTAATCAAGACTTGAAACCAGAACAACGAGCAGATAATTCCCTCTGCCTTACCTCCATCACCTTAAGGTCTAAATGATGCTCTTGCTTAAGGCCTGTTGTCTGCCAGCCAAAAGGTAGAGCTCAGTCCCTCACTCATACACAAATCTCTGCTGGGTCTGATGTCCAATGCATTAACACATACCTGCCATGGGCTTTACCCGAACTTTGTAGCCATTGATGTTCCCTTCAGTCTCTTTCCATTTCATTTGGAGCCTGTCTTCCGAAAGGACAGTGAGTTTCAGCCGGCCTGACCCTGGGGAGGAGGAGATGTGTCCATGCTGTTATGGATGCAATTCCTCCCTTTGCACATGGACACATGAAACACCACACACGCCATCTCCTCTACGGACACGGGAAGAGTTGCCGTGCAGAGGAAACCTTCACCATCCCCTGCAAGCCCTCAGCATCTCCTGACACTATACACAGCAACTCCTGCAGTCCCCCCACCCCTCTGCCAGCAAACCTACCACGACTCATGGCAAATCTGCAGCCTCCACCCTATGCAAAGAGGAGTTTCTCATGCGTTCGAATGAGACCTCAATATATACTGTTGGAAACAAGGAAAACAGCCTCCCACAGAAGTGAGGGCTTTTCCACACCCCTCACATCTTGGAGGACTCTTCTGGGACCTTTCACGCAGGACGTTTTGTTTCAGCAAGCGTCTTTAGCGCAAACATCTGAAAGGGGAGGGTGGGAGATAGATAAAGGGGCTCACTGAGGCTCTTTGATAGGCTTGGGCTGCTGAGAAACACAGAAATACCCCAGGTGATGGATCCCATACTTCTGCAGAAAGATAATTTCAGAGGCAGCTCCAAGGACCAGCTGAGTTTAGAAAGAAAAGAAGAAAAAAAAAAAAAAAAAAGAAAGAAAACCTGATAAAGTGTAAATAACAGTTCCTGGCAGGACCATAACTCATGGGCACCAGCTTGTATCTGTTTGCTGCAGGGAGCAGCAAGCTAAATGACAAATCCTGAGGAAAAAAATAATATCAGACAAGGAGGTAAAAAGAAGAAAGAGCACATTCCCTTATCATCTCCAGATTTCACAGATCTCTTTTAAAGCCCAGCTAGATGTCTGAACTCACGTGTCACTCTTTGAATCAATGATTTCTTGGCAAAACATAGCTGCACCGTCGTACAGATGTCACCGTATGAAACTTTTTCACTTCACTGGGTGTAGGATGGCAACTCAGCAGTTATCTTCCCCCCTTCCTGACATGGTACCTACAGCTGCCTTTCCAGCAGGCTGCCCTAATTTGCAATGAGTGAGTGCATCCCTTTGCCTGCTCGCTATAAGCATCTGCCCTCAATGCCCACCCTCATTTCCAGTTGTTACTGATCTCTTCTCCTTTATCATTACTCATTAAAAAAAAAAAAAAAACCCAAAAAAACCCTTCGGCGATCTCTTCTCCTTTACCATTACTCATTAAAAAAAAAAAAACAACCCAAAAAAAACCTTCGGGTGGCCTGGAGTGTCCTGCTCAGTGCTGGCAAACTCCTTAATCCCTAATCTGGTCCTGCACCACATCCAGACATCTCCTGACATCTTTGCCATGAAGTCACGGCTCAGGAAAGCAGTGGGAGCTGGCAGTGAGGACTTGCTTGTCTCAGCCCAACATCTGTGCCTTAACCTTTCCTTGTGGAGACTTCCTGAGGGCTGCCCAACAAGCAGATGCCTATTTGGGGGAAACAAAGCTCAGATTCACATCTCACCCCAGGCAAATCTGAAGGGGAAGAAAGAAAACATGGGGAAGAGGGGTGAGGGGCAAAATAAAATCCCAGAATCATGCCTAAGAGAAATGGTAAAAGATCATGGAACAATGAGGGGAATTCATAGTTAGATTAAACATGGAGCTGTCTTCTTTTGGCCAAGTGCGGTCCAGCTCCTCGGCCATCACTCTAGGAGCTGGGAAGCTAAAAAGGCAAGAATGTCCCCAGACAGATCAGAAAAGACAGCATCCTCTAAAGCACCATTATGCGCTGGATGCAAATGAACCCCAGCACCATGAAAGCTCCACTGTTTCCCTGCCCTGTCTTGGATGTGCGCTATTTGATGCTGTAACCTTGATCTCGGGCTGATAGGGAGTTAAGCCCAGACTCAACTGCAGAGGAGGGTCTAGAAGATACTCTGAAGTGCCATCACCTCTCTAGAAACCTTTGTCCTGACCTCTTCTAGAGGAGGTTCAAATGTAATATAAAGGTGGATCTTCAACATCAGAAAGGCTACGGTGAGGTGCTGTAGGCATTTTCTGGTCATTTGTGGTTCTATGGGAGCCCTATACGTTACAGGAGGAATGCACCTCGTGCTCTCTTATCCAGATGTTGTACTACATATCACCATATACATCCAAAGGAATACTTTCAGCGTGCAGGACAGATAGTTACCAACAGAAGCACCATCGCTTTTTCTTCCTATTTCTCAAGCTCCATTTGCCGATCACATAAGCACCCTTCATTCCCTGTACAGGCTGAAATGCCTTTCTGGTGCGAGGGAGCAGCATGCTGAACTGCTGCCAGTGAGGAGGACAGGCTTTGCTGGGTGGGGAGGGATGGAGATACTCGCCCCAAATGGGCCCCCTGAGCTCCTGGTGCTCTTCGTGTCTGGGAACGGGCTGTTGGGAGTTTTAGCAACAGACACCAGAGCACAGCAGCCCCTTGAAATCCTGCGTGTGATTGGGAATGTCCCTTGCGTGCGGTGCCGCTGCCCATGGGAAGGGCTCAGGCTGGGCAAGTTAAACCAGGTGATGGCCAACCCACAGGGAATTGCCCAGAGGAAGGGCAGCAGGGCTCCTTACCTTGGCCCACTCGTCCCCAGACGTGGCTCGCCACAGGCAGGCAGGCAAAAAAGAAACAAGTGCGAATCAGCATGGTGACCAGGACCTACAAGAAGGCAGACATCAGGAGGAGGAATTAAAATGGCACCATGACAATACTCGGGTTTTTTTCAGTCCTCAGTCAAGGGACCACAAGCTAAGATCCACAGCCCTACACATCACTGGAAGAGTAGATAGAGAAGCACATACTGAATTTTCCTGCAACTCCTATATATTATTTTACATTCTTGGTCTCTCCAATACAGCTGTTCAATGCCTTGGACCATTGCTAGATGGAGTTTATACACCTGGTGGGTAGTAGGCTTTGCCCCGGTACCCCTCTCAGCCCGCCTGGTCCTAGAGATGGGCACTGCCCTCTTGGTAGGACGATCTCCACAGCAGTGCAACGCACGCTGGGTTCTGCTCCGCTCACCGAAATAAGCAACATGGGCCAAATCACTGGGCAGACATAGATTCCAGACCAACTTCTGTTTTAAATAATACAGAAGTGATTCTTTCCAATTATCTTGACCAAAATCAGCACAGATATACAAACGCCCAGCATCTTTCTCATGTCCCCGCGACGCACGCGCTGATCAGAAGGGGAAAAGCATTTAGAGGAGCACTCTTTGGCAGGCGAGCTCCTCGCACCGCAGATTTAATGACCCTGCAGCCGCTGTGACAAAGCAATTCTGCAGCAGGAGGGCTACCACAGACCTAGCTGAGTTGATATGTCAACAGTTTAGAAACAAAGGGTTTATTTCTTATTTCATCATGGAGTTCCCGAGAAGTTACGTTCAGGACTTGCTGGGAGAGACTTGTTTTAACTTGTTCACCTGAACAAGACCGAAACCAGATGCAGTTACAGCCTTGATCCCGGCAGAGGATCAGTTTGACTCAGAAGCAATCTCCGCGGCGTTGATGAAGCTGGCTGACTAAGGACAGCCAGCCTACAGCCCACGGACCTCGAGCACCTTCAGTTATCTTTGCTGGCCTGCATTTCAGTTTTATTCCATGTGGGTCAGAAATGTCAGGTCAGCATAAAGCCACCCTGATGGGAACAGTGCCTCCCCCTCCTCTCAGCCTCAATATACCGGCTTTCGACCATATGCTGTTAGCCTTTTGCAACGCATCGTTGGCATCTGTCATTTTTGTGCTACACATTTCAGCCTTATTGCTTTTGGCAGAACCAGACCATACACAAGTTTCCTCCACCACCGTCTGCAGTGACATTTCACTTCTGTTCATTTTGATGGACAGGTATTTAAAGGCTCCTGGCAAATGCCTATTTCCCCTCAAATACTTCAGCTTTTCAGAGATCTCAAGGAAAAATAAATATGCACACGAGTGACCCAGCCATGATTTCCTGGGGTTTAAAACAGTTCTAAATCGCTGTAAGAATGAATGGAAAAATATGCAAGTTATAACAGGGAGATGTTAACCACCCTACTCAGTCGGTGATTTTTTTTTTTTTTGACTGAAGATCAGGTTATATGGAACAACTGCAGTGTAACTGAAGCCCTTAGCCCTGGGAAACACTTGCTTTTTTTTTTTTTCCAGCTAATAAAATGAAGTCATTGCTTATGAAAAACAGCAAACATTTTAAAGGTGGGTTTCAGGAATCAGACTGTCACCTCAAGAGAAGCAAAGCCTGCCCTGGCTGCAGAGGTATGTGTGCCAAACAACAGCAAGAAGCCTCCGTTTCTGAAAAGTTCCCTGGATCAAAAGTTCATTTGTGCCATTTTGCAATGCCACCAAACTGCTATTGAGTTCTTTGCAAATTCCCCATGGCCCTGCCAGCAAACAGGGTGCCAAACTCCGACAAAAGCACTGCATTGTGTATGATCTTTTCACGTTAACCAGGATTATACGGGATCCAAAGCCCAGCCTGTGCTGAACCAGGCTTACTGCAGGGTCCGACTCAGCCAGGAGTTTCCACCCTGATGTGTCAGTAAGGATGAGTTCCACGTTAACCCAGGCTGGATCCACTGAGTCCCCAGGTGTGGAGCTTTACTGAGACTAAAGCAAGGAGCAGGGACTTCATCTCTTCCTCCTAGCTCCAAGGCAAACCCACGGCTATTTTGCCTCTTGGCCAACGTTCATTTTCCTACCTGTGAAGCTGGAAAAATAAATGCACCTGCCTGAAATGGTGGAAAACAGGCGGCTGGAGGAGCTCTCTCTCTGCAGGTTACCTGCTGCACCCCAAGCCCCCGCTGGGTCTCCGTGGTCCCTTCCCATCCACTCTTCCCCTTGCTGGGGCCACCATCCAGCCAGGCTGAGCTGTGGACCCTGGCGCCGAGGGGACCACAGGGCCACCAGCCTGCTGGCGGGCAGGCAGCCTCCAGCACACCAGTGCCTTGCTCCCGTTACTTGCCCAGGGAAAGAATCTGGTGACAGCAACACATGGAGCATGTGACATTTCCAGGGCTGGAAAATGGGTGTGGGGCACCCCCCCACACACACTTCCCGCTTGCCCCAGCTGTGTGCTCAGAGGGGATTTGGAGGTTAGGGCAGTCTGAGATCCCCTTATTTGTACAGGGAATTTTTAAAGTAGTTGCTTTGATGAAAGAAAATATTATTTCTATGTAAAAAATCCCTGCCGTGTGTTTAAATCAGCAGAACTAAAAGCAGGAATCTGAGGGCACTGTGAATATTATTATTATTATTATCCACCCTCCACAGCTGCAGTTTGGGGACACTTCCATCATTCCTCATCCCAGAGGGCATTGCCGTCTCTGCCCAGCAGCTCTGGCAGAAGCAGCATCACCTCATGGCCCCCTCCCCACCAACACACGAGCAGCCCCGGGGACAGCCCCAGCCCTGCAGGAGCCTGTCCCACACTCCCCAAGAGCTTTGCTAGTTAAAGGACCTAAAACAGACCTAAAAAACCCCCCACATTCATCAACCTTTTGCTGTTTTCTCGTGGAAATCTCCTGTATTTCCGTTCCACTGTTGTGCAAAAATTCTCACTTATCCCGGCACCAGTCTCAAAAAAGTAAGGCACAAGTTTTACTTCTAGGCTGAGCCTTTGCAGCTCCCCACAGCCTAGGCAGGCTTAGCAACATCGGCTTGACACAGACCTACGCTACACCCTCCAGGTGGGAAAACCCACCCAGACAACTGCTATTGCCACCGAACCCTTCCAAGTACCGTCCTCCCGGGCAGCAGCATCCCGCAGGTTTTATCCTGTTAACCACAAAATAGAAGGCAAAACCCCAAACCAACAAAGAAAGCGCATTTCTCGCAGCTGTTGCTCCAAAGAAATTGCTAAAGCAGTCCTGGCAAAGCTTAGACCCGACCTACAGCAAATGCGAGTCGTGAGGCCACTTCACCGTAAGAGGGTGAGACCTGGCACCCTGTGCAGCACCCGCAGCGCTGCTCCGAGCTGAGCCGCACCAGCTCCAAGTCGCCCAAAGAGCAAAACCCTGCAGAAGTTCCCTGCTCTGCCAATTACCCACGCCTGCCCCAAAACACCACAGCCCCTCCTCGGCATCCCTGCGAACTGAGCCCCGAAGGGGAACGAGCCACAGACCTCTGTGGAGCAGCGCGGCTTTCCCTGGAGTCAGGCGGGAGGTGCGACGAATCCGGCTACATTCTTAAATTGTGGGAGAAGCAGCCCTGGCGCCTGGTCTGCTCCTCGGCGTGATTAGAGATTTCAATTCCCAGACGTCAGGAGGGATAAGGAAGGGGAGGGAGAGCAGGGGGAGAGGGACAGCGATTCCCCCACCTCCCTCTCAGCACGCAGCGGAGAGCGCTGCTTGGCCCCTACGTGCAGCTAAATAAAGCGCGCACCAAAAGCGAGAGACTGCTTCTACGGAAAACAATAGGCAGCCTTTAGCATTTTTGCTAACTAAATACTAAATATACATCTAGGAAGCTGCATGCCGAGTTCCTCGAGCGCGGCAACAAGTCGGGGCTCCCGCCCACTGTCAGGCTCCCAGGGATGAAGTCATTCACATCCCATTCACATCCCATTAAATATTTTTGAGAGCCCCGGCGTTTGCACCGGAGGCAAATTGCATTGCATTTGTTTAAGGAAATCAAGCACATCTGTACGTTTTGCAAGGCCAGAGGCTGAATCATGAACTGGAGCTCAGTGGTGCTGCAGACTTCCCAGCTGTGGGATGCAGCCCTGACCTCCACCGGCATGTGGTCCCCAGCCCCGGGAGCGCCTCGGACAGCCGCCCAGCTCCACGCCAAAACTTTTTTCGGAAAAATTTTGTCCTCTTTGCCAGGAATGGAACAACTGACAGTGGCATTTCTCCTCACAAACAGAGGCCAGATTTTCAGCTGCATCCCTGGGGACGGTCAGCACCAGTCTCTCACTGCAACAGAGCGAGCGGCAAGAAACTTGCAGGTGCCGTTCCATGGAAAACGCAGGCACCTTTGAAAGCGTCAAATCGGGGAAGAAACCAAAATCATAGTTTTTAAATATTTGGGCATGCTAAAGAAACATTTGGTAGCTCATTGCCCTTCTGCTTTATAAACTAGGAAGTATTTAAAAGCAGCACAAACTACAGGCCAAAGCATAACACTAAAAGGAATCCCTTAAATCGTGTTCAGACAAACCATGGAGCATCTGGTAGCCTGTGGAGAGAGTGGTCGCTGCCCTACACATAAATACCACAAATTTCTTCTTCTGTAATTCCTACTGGATTTTCAGGAGTTGCACAGATTTGCTGCAGTTCACTTTAAAACTAGGAGGAGGTGGGAAAGGAAAGAGCAGAGATCTCCTGCACTTCACTTCCAGGGAATTCAGATCCAGAGCTAAAACTTGTGCTCTGTTTATGTCAGAAAAAGCTGGAGCTGCTTTCCGTGCTAACATTCAAGTTGTCGCTTTCCGCCCTACCTTTCCCGTGGTGCCCACAAAATGCTGTGGTTGCCTGGCTTTGACTTTAGCCCCACACTGGATCAAACCTTGGGGCCACCACAGGCACCCAAGCCCGCCCTGAACAGCGACACGAACCAGAGTTTAAAAAAGCGAACAGGCAGACGGAGGCCGCTTCGCTTGTGCACTGCATGGCTCGAAATAACAGCGGTGAACGTATCGACAAATGGCTGGAAAGATTGTCTGGTTTCACTTAGGGGCTGGAAGGACCCCAGTGGATTATCAATGCAAACATCTCGCTTGGCCCACGTTCCAGGAACGCTGCGCTCCAAGCAGTCCCGTTACCTCTGCACCGGCGCTGGGGGAGCACAGAGCCCTTTATACCAAGGGAAAAAAGGCAGCCAGCAGTAAGGCAATACCTGACACCCAGTCGACACCAGATTTTGCAAGAAAGTCAGCTCCCATTTTAACACACATCAAAATGACTATTTTTTTTTTTGGTTTCTGGGTTTTTTAGGTTTGGGGGTTTTTTGGTCGGGGTGGGGTTTTTTTGTTTGGTTTTTTTTTAAAGACTTGGTTGGTGGCCAAAATTGCTGCACTGAGGGACCTGCCCTAAGCAG